AAAGACACATAAAGAAGGGGTCCCTTTTCGTGCCATTGTCTCAGAGCAACACACCTGGCAAGAGCAAGTTTCACTTTGGTTGGCGAAAAACCTATCACAAGTTGAAGTAAAGGATCCTTTCCGGATACCAAACTCCGAGGCAGTGATTCGCCTTCTTCAGGAGAAGGGTTCTGATATTGTATCAGGTTTTTCCTTGGACATCCAAGACCTCTACTATTCCATTCCCCATGCGGCTCTCCTCAAGGTCCTCCGAGAAACCATAGAGGAGCAGGGTCTTCAAGGGTTTCAAAATTCAACAGGGATGAACCTTGACAGCTTCTTGGAGCTCCTGACGGCATATCTTTCTGCAACGGTGGTGTCACACCAGGATCAGCTATTTTTACAAAGAAGCGGTGTGTGCATCGGGTCTCGAGTGGCCCCCTACTTGAGCGATTTATTCCTAGCAGCGTGCGGGAGGAACATTCAACACCAGTTAAAGGATCAACGCATCGAGGCCATCTTTCGGTATGTTGACGACTTCCTCATACTAAGCAACTCTGATGCAGATGAGGAGAGTAACGGGTGCTTAGACGTGGTCATGCGCAGCTTCGAACATAGCTGCCACGGATTGGCTTTTACCCATGAACTTCCCGTCAACAATTCCATACGGTTTTTAGACCTCTCATTGGAGTTTCAACCTTCCCACGTGTGCTGGAGTTATGAACCCCGTTCATGTAAGGGGTTCCTTCCGTGTACCTCGGAACATTCCAAAAACGTAAAACGGGGGTTGGCCACCAGAGCTTTAGCCTCGGCGCTACAGAAGTCCTGCCCTCATAAGGTGGGGCGCTGCTTTCAAGGACAGCTGGGTCGACTCCAGGATTCTGGGTACTCGAGTACCCTCCTCGTACCGGTATGTGAAAAGCTTTGTAGGCAAGTACGTCAAAATCCTGAGAAGAATCAAACAACTCAAAAGAAGCCCCCAACGCCTTTCGCAGTGGTCCCGTATGTTCACGGCATTACTCATCGATTAAAAAAGATCGCCGGCCGACAAGGCGTCCACGTTGTGTGCTCCGCCCCCAACAAGGCCTACGCCATGTGCCGTAGGGTGAACCGGAAAACCGCCCAGAACGGGACGACGACCTGCAGCACTGCGCATCGAACACCCTACGCCCGATGCGAAAAAGGAGTGGTTTACAAGATCCCTATGTCATGTGGCAAAAGCTACATAGGACAGACGGGGAGGTGCATCAACGACCGCACCAGAGAACATGCAGCCTCTGTGACCGCACTAACGTCGGCGGGCCACCTCTCGGCACATTGTCGGGCCTGCAAATGTGCTCCTGATTTCACAAGCGTCACCGTTTTAGCAAAACACCGAAAGCAGCTTGGAAGGGAGCTCCTTGAGGCGTTGGCCATTGAGGAGGGGGAGGGAGAATGCGTCAGTGTTGCCTCCATTGCGCTCTTGCCCAAAGAAAAAATGTATCTGAAGAGAGCGGCACCTCGGATAAACCAAGTTGGGACCCTGTGACTCCAAGATCCGACCGAGAAAAAAACGAGGGTGACACCACCGGAAATATAAAAGACAAAAAGAAAGACATTTTTCAAGATCCGAAAGTCGAAGAAGACAAAAACTCCACGGATCGTGAGAAAAAAAGGAAGTTTCTGTCTAAGCTCCGACTGAAGTAGTAGAAGCTACCCTTTGGGATGGGGAAAGTCGAAGAGGTGGAGAACACCACGGTCTGTGAGAAGAAAAAGGAAGTTTCAGTATAAGCTTTGAAAGAAGAAGAAGAAGCTACCCTTTTAAGGATTGGGTTGAGGAAAAGGAAGTGTATATAAAAAAAAAGGGTTGATAGTCCAGCAGTGTGTTTCTTTCTCTCTCTCTTCGTCGCTTTCCTAACGTTCAGCTGGTAATCAGTAAGCAGTGTTTTGGAGCAGCAAATGTGGCCTTTGGAGCAGCAAAAGTGGCTTTTGGAGCAGCCAAAACAGTGCTTCGGAGCAGAAAAAGTGACTTTTGGAGCATATATTCTTAGAAAAATAAATATTTGTTTTAAGTGCTGGACAAACGAAGGGCACTATGTGTTGTGTTGTGATGTGACGTGTTGGGGCGGAACTCGCTGCTTGTGTTTTTGCTGCTGAGACATCCCACAAGTATACAGTGCTGTAGGTGTTACTAGAGCCCTATATAGCTCCTACGGAACAGAGTAGCGCAGTCTTTTGATCCGCGTGTATTGCCGACAACATGGCCGACAGAGCAGCTCCGCAGCTCGGCGCGAGTCACGTGGTACTCAGGGTTCCAGGAGGCGGCCCGCCCTATGGGAGAACACATGGAGATCGACGCAACACGGCTGATTAAAAAGTAAACGCCAAGTTCACACTTTTCGAAACTAGTCTGTCGTGAAGTTGGTAAAGCACTAAACACTTTATCAAAGTTTTCATATTATCCGATGCGTGTGAAAATTTTGAGAAGGCAATTTCCAAGGCAATGGCGTTTGAAGCAGGCGATTTTTGTGCGCAGCGGAGAGGAACTTTCTGGGTTGGCCGGAGCGGGTCACGGGGACGGTGCGACGTCGCCGCGTCGTCTGTTGCATGATGCCGTTCAGGCAATTAAAAAAAAAAAAGTTACGTCCTTACATGGCACGCAACTTAGCGCAAATTATTCTAAAATGTTCCTTTATTATGTCAAAAACTATTGACGTTCCGTTCATCCCCCCGATATTGAAGAAACAATGATTTTCTCACGTTCCCCATGCATTTCTGATCGGAGTTGGAGCCCCCGGGCGTTCGCCGCTAGTCGCCGGGAGATGGCGTTCTAGATTGCGCTACTCTGCTCCGAAGGAGCTATATAGTGCTCTAAGCGTTGCCAAACAATTCCAAAAAAAAAAAAAAAAAAAAAAAAAAACACTTGCTATTGTTTTACTAGTTCCCGACGTGGCAGATTTTTATAAAAAGTAAGCAAATGTAAAACAATGAATTGCAAGCGTCCCGGCTGGTGCCTCTCGTGCAATCATGTTCACATGCACGTGAAGGCAACTTCGGCAGGTTTGCAGTTACACGTGCTTCGTCGCACGAGCGGAGACAACGGCTGTTCGATCGAAACCGAAACCCTGCCACTCCGCTCCGTCGTCAACTGGCTCCCAAAATAGTATGCAAAATGTAACTGTCCAGCATACGACAATAAACAGTTCAGCGGCGCGTGCTTGCCAGGCCGGCAGGCGAGGTACAGGCTAAATGCACAGAAAAAAAGAACCTGAGCGTATCGATGCAAGACATTGCGAATCAGAGTCAAAAAGTTCTTGGACCGCTTTGTGCAACGACTGAACTCGACACAAACAAGCGCGGTGTGCGGGTTCAGCGGGCAGACTTCTTTGCTTTAGTTCACTTCTCGTCATCAACTTTTTTCGCGGCAGATTTTTCACGTACCGGGGTCCCTCTCGAAAGAAAGCTTATCGAGAGAAACTTAGGTAATCAAAACTTCGCCAAGCAGTCATTGAGTTGAAGAGAGATCTTTATAGCAGCGTATGATTTAAACAAGAGCAGGAATGTCGATGTGTTTCAGTTTAGAAAGCGCCATATCTGCAGCGACGTGGGGACGGCAACACACGACGTCGCGCAACCACGGCGACTGTGGTCGCGGGAGCGCTTCAGCTCACAAAGTAACTCTCGCCGCGCAAGTAACTCTCGCCGCGCGGCATGTCTGGCAGTCGGCACACTAACATCGGAGCGTCCGCACATGCCCGCGTCTATCGCTAAAAAAAATAAATAAAAAAAGTAAAAAAGACACGAGGCGAGATTCCCGAGACGACGAGAGCGTGAAACGCGAGACGACGTGAAAAATCATGCAAGACCGAATAGACGATTGATGCAGGGTACTTTGTGTCCGGCGGCGTCTTTTGTGCCACCAAGCTCATGCATGCTCAGTTACGGTTCTTCTTAGTTTAGTTTCGTTTTTGAAAGGCGACCAAAATTGATCCTTTGGCGCACGCTTGGCGCAGATTAGCCATATTTTGGCGAAATGTAGCAGGATGTAGCAGGGTTAGCCCCTTGGCGCAGTTTGGCGCAATTGGCGCAGCAATCACATCACTGCATTTAATGGGGTGAAGTTGTGTCCAAAATAAAATAGAAAAAGGCTAGCGTAGCAGGCGTTGATGGCGGCGAAACAGCAGGATGGAAAGCTGGGGCGAGACAGACTATGGCTCGCCACGTGGAGCCCCTTATGTGCACGCAAGGGCTTCTGGAACCATCAGTGTAGATGGTTCAGTGCGTAGAATATTCTAACCTTGAATAGGCTGCAGGGTTCTTGAATTTGCCAGAACGCAACATTTACAGAAACAACAAAAAGGTGCATTCGCAGCCAGGAATCAAACCTCAGATCTTTGCGTGGGAGCCGAGCTCGATAACCGCTTGGCCACGGGCGCGCTGCCTACTTGGCCAGCTGCGCCCGCAGCAATATCATTGCCAACTACAGATGGAAGCCAAGATACATTCATTCGTGAATTATTTATTATATATTAAACGATGATGTACCATTGCAGAGTAACAATATATACTGTAAACGATTTATTGTTCGCGGGCTCAATATTTCGTGTTTTTGGTCAAGGCTGAAGTTTTGAAATAACTTGCGGGTTCTAATTTTCGCGACGCGGTGGAATCTCAATATAGATTCCAATGTGTTTACATTTTACCAGAATTGTTCGCGGGACCTATTTATTGCAAATTGTAGACGATTTGCAAAAATTAGGTCCCTGGGAAAATTAAGTTGTTTACAATATGCTGTAAAATGTAACAATGCAAAAGAATGACAGTCACTAAAGCAATCACTAGATTAAATGATCTATTGCCATTAACAGATAATATGTTTAATTTTAAGACGTACAAAAGACTTGTAACATAACTGATAATGGCAGTTACTACAACGAAAAATACTGTATAAACATGACGACAAACAAACATTAAAACAGTTCCACTAATTCAAAAAAATAATAATTGGGGAAGATATAGCCAGATGCTGATTTTCAGCTCACCTGTTTGGGCTGTTCCTCCTTAGGTACAGGGGCAGCCGGTTCTGGAAGCGCCTGCCTGGCCAGCAGTTGGATGATGTCGTTGAGGCCCACATCGTAGTCGAACAGTGTGTAGCCATCTTCCAACTGAAACAGATAGCTAAATGTGTCACCAATCCACTTATGCCCTCAACATAACTACTTAAAGACAAATGGAGACATTTTCGAAAAATAATGGTTGCCTCGTCTTCAGGGGGCTCAGTGTGTTCAGCTATTTTTTTCAACACTCCACTAAGGATATTTCTTTTCATTTGCATACAAAAACTTACAAGGGCTGCTAAAGGTTAAACTGAAACTTCTCAGTAAAATCCGAGAAACAGCAGGTGCAACATCACTGCTGCTCATGGCATGGGCGACTGGCAACAGACATGCAGAATGCCTGCTACCGGTATGATAAATTCATTCAGTGGGTAACACAGGGGAGGCGGGGTCATTATAGAAACAGCACAAATTTTTGCTTGGGTTGGTGTGCGCGTGGTTTTCAGATTTCCTAAATCTGTCAGTAATTGCCGCTGGCTGCGATTAGCAATACTTTGGTATTCCACGAGTGAAATGGGTCCGGGCTAGAGAATATGCCCTTGTGTTGGTCTTACATCTACACATAATTTAAAATAAACAGAAAATACCAATGCTCTAACGGTATAGCTAGGCTGCAGACTTTCCGGTTTTACAGTAAAATGGCTAAGTGGGCTAGTTCGTACATGTTTAGCTGGGAAAGAACCTCGAAAATATGTGGACACAAGAAAGAAAGGACAGGACCAAGCGTTTGGTCCTGTCCCTTCTTTGTTGTGCCCACACATTTTTTAGGTGCTTTTCAAGTTTCCGGTTTTAACTGAAAAAAACAAAACAAAAAAACTAATAGACATCTGCCAGTTTCAACAATACAAAATCAGATGAACGGAAGTACAGCGATTTCTGGAAATTTTCACTCTGAACGAAAACTACTCTCTGTTCAGAACTTTCACATTCTTAGATACTAGTAGGATCCGTAATTCTACTCAAAATCAAGCACCTTGCAACCTCCCCTTCAGGAATCACTGACCTTGGAGGACAGTGTCAGGAGAGTTAGGTCAGTCAGTTGGTCATCACGGATGGCCACAACGTCTTTGCTCTATTCACGTCAGAACTAGACAACGGTGCTTGAAACTATGGGGATTGTGCAACACCTGAAAGGGTTGCCCCGCTCCGCCTCGGCAGCTTGTTGGCAGTGCCACCAACGACAGAGTATGCGGTATGTCGCAAGAAACGTTACATTGTTATAAAATGTGGCTAGTAAAGTGCTGCCCGCTCCGTGGACAGCACTTTCTTGATCTCGCGCCGGAGTAAATGTTCCACATCTTGACATCAAAAACCTCCCCGCAACCATTGTTGCTCTCTGTGTCCATATGTCACTCAACCCGCAGAAGTTGTTCGAAGCTCAGGTTGAATCGTGTCCCCCGCAGTTGCAAGCGGCAAGGTCAGCAACGTGTTTTTCTCTTATCTGCACCGAAAATGCTTCTGCAAATAACTTGTGCATTTGACGGTCCAGAAACTATTACGGGACGACATACACCAGTGCCAGTGATTTTACATGAGAAGTATTCTTCGCTCCGCAATCATCAGATTGCTCTTCACTCGCTGGCGGATCGAGTGGACATCATGGAAATGAGATGATTGCATCTGTTTTTGCTATCACACAAAAGGGGTTTGTGTTCTCAATTTCCATCCGTAGCACAAATGAAGGAAGCACCGAATGTTGCCTCAAACATTTTTTATAGTTGGGTGGCCACTAGACCTACTGCTTATGCAAAATGCTTCTGCTAGAAATCGTGCCATGGCGACACTGTCTTGTTGCACGCTTCCAATACCAGTGGTTGTTACCAGTTGAATCTTGCTCAAGAAGCAAGAGCAACTTAAGCTCAAAATTGTGGAAACAATTAGCCTGAGAGCACTTTGATTTTTGTCAGCTCACGGAGCAGAACGGCAGCAGCATAAGAATAGAAAAGCCCCGGGCAATTATCTCAAAGCGGCGATGCAAACCTTTTTTGTACTTTGTGCAAATACCGCTTAGAATGAATCCCCAATGTTAATGACCCATGAAACATGCATTTGTTTTTGACCACACGCAATAAAAGTTGCGGAAACTTTTTTTTTTTAACGAGCAGCGTTTAATTCTTTAGCTTGCAGCCAGAACAAGCTGCCACGTGATCTGCAGCCGATAATATGCCGCCAATGTTGATCATAGCCACGCGTTGGGGTTGGCAAAGCACAGGACACGCACTGACTTCCAGACATTGTTATGGTTCGGCTGTTGTCGTCATTGCAGCAATTGAACACAGGCCACTACCCGGATGCTTGTCGAGCTACTGATTATCACGAGCTCGAATCGAGTGCTAACGCAATGCTCGGGTCCAATTCTATGAGGCATATTCAAATATCACTGGGGGGTACTGCAACCCCCCCGCCACGTCAAGTTTTGCAAAGGAAAGAATGAAAGAAAACGCTCGCTTTTGTCCTTGAAATTATACCGCAACAAAGGAGTTTCTTGGTCAATGGCGTTGCGTGCAAGTATACTTGGTACCAATAGTGCCAGTAAGCTCGTGTAAAGTGAAAAAACCTTCCAAGCGAATATCGTTGCATGGCCCCTTTAAAGACCCAGACTCTGAACTATGACTTGTTTGTCATTTGCAGACACTGTCGCATTATTTATTTATTCCCTTAATCCCATCGCCTGATGGCATTACAGTGGGGGGATGCATACAACTAGATTATATGCAACAGCAGAACAAGAAAAATTAGCATCTCAGAAACCACACATGCATACACCTAAAAATGTGTAAATCTTTAATTATTTGTCTTTTTAAATGTGTATGCATGTTTTTTTCCACTCCTGCGATGACCTCATCAGGGTCGCAGTATTTTGAGATAAATAAATGAAATATATAAATAAATAAAAAGCACAAACAAAGGACACTAAAAAACAAAAGAAACATCACAATGCCATTAAAAAAGCTGCACTGTAAGATGCAGCTTTTCTTGCATCTTTCAGAGCTTTTTTAAAGCAGCAAAAAATGCTGCACCTTACAATACGGCTTTTTTTCGCAGCTTTGACCTCATGCTGCTGCGGTGGCGCTGTTGTAGGCGTGGTGCATGTATGGTGCCCAGACCTTGAGTTGGAAAACGCGGACTCGTTTGTAAACAGTGTGTTGGTCTATTGTAAAGGTGGTTCAGTCACTCACACTGGTGCGTGATAGATAGCATTACGGCTTCTGGCGTTCCACTACGACATGTTGCATGGACCTCAGTTGCCATAGACACAACCTAGCTGTGAGTGGTCATAATGTACTTGCTCACACCCAAGTGCCTGAACCAGCCTTAAGTATGAAGCATTATAAGGCTGTGTTCAGATTTGCTTTTCAATGGCTGTAAAAGAGTGCCACAAACTCAGTCAAATTTGCGCTTTGTTTTTATTAGTGCTAGTGGACAAGGGTTACCAAAATTGATGTAAGCGTGCTATCACCATTGAGAAGTCGATGTAGGGTACTCCCAATGTAACTCTTTATATAAAAAAGCGAGGTATCACAAGACACGAAAATCTGCATTTTCTAGACCTCGTACCTCCAAAAAGACAACATGCTTTGTGACAAACGTTTTATTTGTGATGGCACTTCCGGACAATCTTTCCCTGTGTAAACATTTAGCGTCTAGATGGCTTTGCTTTCCCTCTGCCGTGATTGCAATTTAGCTGTCCAAGAATTCGATCTAGTACAAAAAAACTTATTTAATAAAAATATTCCGAGTTCCACACAGTTTCAAGGTGTTTATTGGCACAGCTTCCACACAGCGGAGTGCCTGAGGCAGCCAAAAAGGCAGAAGCCCGTACAACCAAGTGCTGGTTGCATCCTCGGGAAGGGCAATCAACAATACGGATCGTTGGACATGAAAAAAAAAGCAACACTTCGCAACAAAGAAATCTTGACCAAGCATGCTAAAGAAAAAGGAACCATGTGCTAGCAAATTTCTACAGAGCAGTTGCACGCTTCTTAACAAGTGCATGCAGAAAAAAAATAATTATCGCACTTGTACATTTTAAGTAGCGCACTCCGAAATGCTCTCAAAACTTAATTAATTGTGCAGCACTGGGGCCTGATGGTAAAATTGGTGTGAAACAATGCCACGGAGCTGGAAACCTGGTTGAATGGACCTTTTCCACATACCGACGGCACCAGGCGGTGGCTGCACGAACTAAAAATCGAGGAAGTGACCTACCTGCGCTACCAATCGATAATGGGAGCTACGCTACCAGTTTCTTCGTTTTCTGAGCAGCGGCGCCTGCCCAACGCGACTTTAAAGAGGAGCATCCATGGCGTCCACCAAAACGTTGTGTTTTCCTTTCCGCCGACGTTCTTTTTTTGTGTAACACAATTATATATATGCTGCAGTTACGTGTTCTACTCGCTGATATACAGCCTCCTTCCGAATTTCCTCGATTTTTCGTTCCGACTTCCGCCGCTTGGCATCAGGCGCTCGCGCGTGCGCAGAACGCTTCTCGGAAAAGGTCTATTGTGATGGCTAAACCGCACTGAGTTCCCACAGTTGCCAGATGAAAACAAAACTCTTCCAAAAATATATTCATTCACGGATAAATGGTTTGGGGCAGTTTTTTTCTTTGGGTTCAGCAAGACACAAACAAGTGAGAATTTAGCAAAATGGTGTAGTTGGACCACTCCTGCTTGTATGATAATACAAACTGTGTCAGCGAGGGGCTGACGGAACACAGTTAAAGGGGCCCTGCAAGGACTTTCAGGGTGTCTAGCAAATTATTATTTTGAAACTCCCCCACTTTTCCAAATTTTCCCTGACAATTTCAGGTGAGATTCCCCAACCACTCTAGCGGCACTTAAATATTTAAGACCATTACAACACAAGGAGTTGAGCATTAAGCACTGTGATGATAATTTTGCACGGGCTTAATTCTACTTGCATATTCCGAAATATGCAGGTTTGTTCAGTCTGAATTAAGCAAGCACTTTCTTGCCGCCGACATCGTCAGTGAAGAGGCCATTTCCGGAAGAACAATGAAAACACGACGCTCAACATGGCAGCAT